CTCCAGATGTGGCCTAGAATAATTTGGTCAAATCATTGGCAGTTCAAAGGGACCTCTAGGGCACTAATTACCCTTTACTTCTCCTTTTCTGAAACCCAGACCAGACTTCGATCGAAATCATTCCCCACAGGGAGATTTGGTCACAAAATTCTTGCAGATGTAGTACACGTTTTTAGACACGAATATCACACCGCCCAGCGCAGTAGCCCTGGTGCTCGCGCCCTACAACTCAGACGCCTGGGCACGAACCTCAGGTGTACAGGCCACCCGGATGTGGTATCCGTGATTAGACTGTCAAACTACTGTAGCGAACAAGATTATGGCCGAACCGTTCTAGAGTAATTCAGATCAAATGTTACCGAATTTGAATAGTGGTGCTGTAAAGGGTTAGTAGAGGTGTGGAGAGTGACTTCTCAGTAACGGCGAGATAGGCGTCAGCAAATTTGCGAGACGCAGCATCCGCACCAGGAGCCAAGACTCTCAACATGGCAGCAGCGCAGTGCGTCAACTCTATCTTTCGAGCTAATTCATACTGCGATGCTACGACTGGCAAGTAGCGCTCCACAGTCGGTAAGTACTGCTCAAGACATTTTCTCAGGCGGTACTACACTTGTCTAGGTAGATTTTGTCCACAGGATTTCAAAGGCAGTTGGCACGATAATTTGGTACTTGGCCCAAAATGCTAGCAGGGCGCTATATAGTGAGGGAAAATGGCGAAAAAACGAAGTGAAACGGTCAAAAACCTGCGAAGAAAAGCCTTCGTTCTTAATGACTCAAAAAGCAATTTCGGACGAGTTTCCCGTAGGCATCTTGCCAATAACCGCTACGGTAGGTACGGCTGCACGTATGCACTCATATATCCATGCAGCACCGCGGCCGCTTCATATCAATCCCTTCGCTTCATATTTTATTAGGGTGTCCACAAAGTTCGTTGGCCATTTGTAAACAGCGTCGCGTTAAGCAACGCGTTGTGATTTTGCATAGAGATTTCGCAATACTGAAAGTACTCGCGATGGGCTATCTTCTGAGCTAGCTAGCTCTAAATTTCCTTTCCTGCTCTTCCCACAATAAAGCAGTGAAGATGAGTGATAGTCACCACCACCGCCGATGTTTGCTGGACTACTACAACCTGGGCATCTCCAGACGTCAGGCCACGACCAGGATGCGTCAGCAGTTTGGTAATAACACCCCTTCTAAGAACTGGATGTCAAAATGGTGGACTCGCTTCACCAATGAAAACTATGGCATCGAAGATATGCCGAGGTTTCTGGTTCTCTCGCCACGGCGTCGTCCACTACAGCATCCTACCCAACAATGCCACAGTGACGGCAGAGACCCTCTCTAAAGAATTGCAGGAGGTCAAGGTGAAAGCTGCCGCCTTGTCCCAGAAACTTGCAAATCCGTGGTTGCTCTGAGACAACGCGCGCCCCACAAAGCGAGAGATACTCAGGCCGTCCTGGACAGGCTGGGCATCAAGACGATCACGCATCCACCGTATAGCCCGGACATTAGTCCATGCGATTACCACATCTTCCGGTCCATGCAAAATTTCTTGGACGGAAAACAGCTGAAGAACGAGCGCGACCTCGAGGACGTGATCGAGGACTGGGCCGAGTCGCGGCCGGCCAGCTTTTGGGAGGATGGAGTTGCCTCTCTACCCGATCGTTGGCGAAAGGTAGTGGGTATGCATGGAGATTATATCATGGACCGGTAAGTTCAACTTGGTGAGATATCTTTACCAGCTCTGAAAAAACGAATGGCCAACGAACTTTGTGGACACCCTAATACTTAGCAAATGAAGCGATACGAGCATCAGGAACGGTCGTCCATGTGTGGGCGGGCGGGTGTGGTGGGCGTTCGGCTCGGCATTTTGTAGCTTGATACAGCTTATAAGGGTACCTTTCTTGGGAAAAGGCGCTACGTAGCGCCTGCTCAGGGGCGCGGAATTCCGTCTTGTCAGGCGTATTAATCCTACTCGTCTTAGGGATTTATTGTGCCAACTTCCTTTAAGGGATAACTGCACTATCGGAACAACCGGATCGAGTAAAACGTACTGAATCCCATCAGAACTAATCAAATAGTGAACAGTGATGGTCTCTATGGTGCAAGTGAAGGTCCAACTGAAAAGTTGTAGCAATGTGCTGGAGATCTTTCCACGGACTCACGCAACATTCCTGATCTCGAGTACTCCTATCCAATGTGTAACAATTATCCGGTTTTTCTTTACAGTCGCACGCGACAAATCCGAATAAGAACAATGTTTAACGGGTGCCGTGATGCGAACGAGTGTCAATAGATTGCTTCAACAAATACAAACGAGACGTCGGGTCGCGTTGAGTTATTGCCGCCGTTTGACTGCAAACAGAAGCCGTTAGGTATCTGCACCGCTCGACGACCGTCTTGATCTCTTCGTCTCGATGATCTTGCCGGTTTCTTGGCCATCCTCACGCAAATTCCGGTCCAAAACGTTGCTGTTAACTTCGCCGGTGACACGCCCTCATCTTCCGACGGGTATTTAGGCTAAGGAACAATTGCGATTTGCACCGACTATCGAAATGCATCTTAGCACTATCGCACTTTGTTTCGCTTCAACTTTCCTGCTCACCGCAGTAAGTGATTTTTACAGCTTTCTTCTTGAATTTTATATTTTTTATACAAATTTACAAATGGCATTGTGGTAACTTTGATGTAACATCACTTAGTTTCCTCAGGTTACCATAGTGTAGTCATAGTACTAGGAGATCTTAATGTCACATTTGAAAAGCTTTAAAACATTCCACTTAACTTTCTTTCTTTCAGGGAAGCGTACTCCGAGAAAAGCGTCAGTGCGGATGTGCTCCAGCCCAGACTCAGGCTCAGTGCTCGTGCGCACCAGCAGCAACTCAGCAGATGTCGTGCACATGCCAGAACCAACCTCAATACACCCAACCTCAGGCTCAGTGCTCGTGTGCCCAGCAGACTCAGACTATCCAATACCCCACCACACAATGTCAGCCTGCCTGCCAGCAAAGTTGCGCTCAACAATGCTCTACTTCCACCTCGAGCAACTGCCAACAGAATTGCCAGAGCTCCTGCCAAGCTTCGTGCACTCCAGTTTACACCCCCACCACACCAGCTCCGGTAGTCAGTCAATGCCAGCCAGCTTGCCAGCAACAATGCCAGCAGACGTGCGTCGCTCAGCAACAACCTGTGGCTCAGTGCAACAATCAGTGCCAGCAACAGTGCAACGTCGCCTGTGAACCCCAACCACAGCAGCAGACTATCCAGCTCCAGATCACCCTTCCAGTTGCTCAACAGAGCCCACAATGCCAGCCTGCTTGTCAGCAACAGTGCCAAAGCTCCTGCGTTGCCCAACAGGTGCCTGCTGCTCAATGCTCTAACCAATGCCAATCACAATGCTCGGACGCTTGCAATACCTACCAGTCACCAGTCGCGACTAGCTCTGCTGCCTGTATGCCACAGTGCCAAGACTCATGCCAGACATCGTGCGTCGCACAACAGCAGCCAGCCGCTCAGTGTGCTAACCAGTGCCAAAGCCAGTGCTCCAACACGTGTGGCGTCCAGTACCAGCCTGCCCCTACCACCGCTGCTCCAGTCGCTTGCATGCCACAGTGCCAGAGCCAATGCCAGTCGTCGTGTGTAGCCCAGCAACAACCGGTTGCTCAGTGCTTCGACTCCTGCAGCTCTCAGTGCTCGCAGAGCTGCGGTAATGGTCAGATTACCGTCCAGGCACAATCACAGCCCCAATGCATTTCGGCTTGTATGCCAGCATGCGACAACACCTGTGTCGCCGCTCAGCAACCAGTCCAGAACCAGCAGCCGTCTTGTGCCCAGCAATGCCAACCTCAGTGCACTCCCACTCAATCATCACCACAGTGCCAGCAGTGCCAATCCGCTTGTGATACACAAAGCTCTCCAGCTCAAGTCGTCCAGATCATGCTTCAGTCGAGCGTCGCTCAGAGCCCTCAATGCCAACCTCAGTGTGAGTCTACTTGCGTCTCTCAATGCACCCAGCAGAACCAACCAGCTGCTTCTTGCCAACCAGCCTGCCAACAGAGCTGCAGCAGCTCATGCTCACCACCCGTTGCTGCTCAACCTGCCGTCGTCGCTTGTCAGGCACCTGCGTCTAACTCTGGTTGTCAGTGCCAAACCGGTTACTCGCCATGCGCCAACAGCAACCAATGTTGCCGCCGTCGCTAATCCGTTGGCGTCTCGCAAATACGAATATTGTGTGTAAATACAGTTCTACAAGACTAGTCGAATGAAGATTCTAAACAAATTGACTTGTACATCACCTACCTTACTAAAACCTTGCTTCTTAAACAGTCCACTATCGCGTTTACCGGTACGAGATTTACAACGATCACATGTGGCTCCTCGAATCACTTCCATACAGAAATACTTCCTCAGGAGCACCTCAATCGTGACTGACTAAAAGACATAATCTTCCGCATAGATACAAAATCAGTAGAGCTATCCATGATCGGCCATGCTTGGAAGGACTTACCAAGCCCATGAACATCTTTGGAATTGTCAGCGAAATCACACCAAATGTGTCATAGCGCAGTTTCTGAAAAAGGTACACTTGAACACTAACACTTCACTGTCCCACTTCTTGGGAGTTGGCTCAGAACTACGACTTTACTAGAAGTAGTCCCCGGGATTAGTTCGACCGCCAGAACACAAATACATAAATAATATATCAGGCTAAGGAAATATCGATGCGCGTTTGGCCTTGAAACACAGTTATAAAATAACAATTGAGCAGTTTGATCCAGGGTATCTCCATTATCATCACTGACTCTCAATTTCCCCTTCTTCCCGTCTTCGGCGCAAGCCAAGAGCGTTGGGGAGTAGCTCACTCGAGTAATGTCTGTTCACCCGAATAAATTGAGTCCTGCATAACTGGTTTGTCGCCTTCCAACCTTCCGCCATCGCCTGACCTCTCGTCCGGATGCCCAGTTCTTTCGATGGCTTCTTTTGCCTTTTTTCATTCAAACCCTCACTATCCACATCCTGACATGAAGGCAAGTGCATCCAAAGGTACTGTTACTGGTTTACTGTCCACGCTGCTTGAACGCTGAGGGAGGACAGTATACCAATAACATCAGGCCACTGCTCCTTACGGGGTACAGCTCATTGTGTGAAACTTATGGGGGGAGGGGGGTCGTATTTGGGAGGGAGAGGGATGTGGCTTTGAGAGGAAACTTGCCGCGTCCGGGAAAAAAATTTTCCGGTTTATGATTTTTTTTGCGTGATTTTTCCTGTTTCATGTGCACTATTTACTTCCCCCCCCCTTCCTCCGCGACGGGAATCTCTGGTATCCGTGAAAAACCAGGAAATTGTAGGAAATGGGTAGCGTCATGTGTTTGGAAACAGGGCCGTGGGGCGTCGTACTGGTTACCCACCATTCACACATCACGATGCTGTACCCTGCCCGTCCATATCATCTATAAGCAGCAGACACAACCAAAGCTACTATCGGGCACAACTAGTCGTGCCTCCACCCTTTAGCGTAGAACTGGTTAAACGCGAAAGTGGATTTGGAGTCTCCATTGATGCTGGCCCAGAGAGAAGGGTGGGCAGTAACAGGTAATGAAGCCTAAAACGCCGATACCAAACCAGAAGATCGTCCTTACAGTTTTATTCGGTCCTTACGTTCATATTTTCCACCAATGTTGACCCCTGACATGACTCTTACCTAGTAAGAACTAGCGGGAACTGCGTTAAGATATGTTCTACACTCAGCTCCAAGGATCCTGTTTTTTGCCGAGGGTAAACGGGCCACAGCTGTAGAAATCTGCCTCTTTGGTCACTCGAAGTGCGTGGAAATGAGGAATGAGCAGCGGGAGCGGGATGGTACTTGGGGCTTCAACCGAAAGCGGAGCACGCAACACGTAACACGACGCACTATCGGCTGCCGGCTAGAGGCTTATGTAAGCCACCTGCGCTTCATGCCTTCATGCCTCTCCCTCTCGATTCTGCGTTCACAATTTGCGACAGCGTCCACCGGCGACCATCAGTGTCTCGAAGGACTAGGAAAGTATACGGGGGAGAGAGGGCAAAAAAGACGCTTTGCCCGATAAATATATCAGTAAAAAATATGCAAATACCCAAGATGTTCCTCGATAAGCAGAAGCAGACTCTCGTTCATCACCTTCATGTACATCAAAATATGTTCCTTATTTCGCTTTAATTCGAGGAAAAAGTCTTTTTCGCCTCTCCCCTGTAGATATCGATCTAGCGTCTAGCAGCGTCCATCTGCGACTACCAGCATCCACAAGGGACCACGAATACGGTATTGCATAGAAGTACGGTGCGATTGCACACTCAGCAACTACAAGACGCCTAACCCAACTGTCTCCTACCTCCTACTTCCCACACTCTCTACTCGTGGTCGCTGGTGACGCCGGTAGAGGCTAGATCGCTATCCATGCTTTGCTAGTCCCTCGAGACGCCGATGGCCGCTGGTAAACGCTGGCATACGCTAGATCTATA